ATATTTTCATGGGATTATCGTACCAAGTGGGATTCGCTAACATTCTTGTGCTTCGTTTAATTCATGCCATCATATCGTAAACACGCTTCCTTTATATAGTGCAGCTCACATTCCGCGCGCAATGATCGAGAATTTTGTTTTTCCAGACAAGATCTTGGATTAGCCTTAGATTCACAGAATGTCAACTGTCGGGCACACGCAGCAAGTAGGCGATGTCGATACAGCAGCAAAATTAGAGAAAGTGAAAACCATGAACATTGGAAGGTAACGCGGATGAACCCATGGTCATCAAAGGCATTCGCTGAATAGAGTAATCGCAGTATACTGTAGCACACCGTGGCGATCGGTCTACGTTGCTGCTCTATGTTCATTCGTGCAAGCTATACAATACGGTTTGTTCTTCTCCTCCCTATGGCCTTATCTCAAAAGTGTGAGTTTTCACGAATTTTGTACTTTTCCTCCGAATCTATCCCATTCACTGCAGCTTGATCCAACAGTCAGCGAGACTTTCTTTGGCTACATCGTTGCCATATACAGTCTTGGTCAATGCATCGCATCTCCAGTGTTTGGATACTGGAGCAACCGTATCAAGCAGGTGCGCAAACCGCCTAGTTTCCAAAAAATTCGTTTCTGCTCATTCCAGGTGCGTGCACCGACGATTTTTGGGTTTAACATGATGCTGTTCGGAAATCTCATATATTTATTTATGGATTTTCTACCTCACGGCTATGGCTACACAATGGCCATCTCCAGGGCCTTAGTAGGGATAGGTTCAAGTGAGTAAATAATCAAGTCGTAGTTGAAGCACACTATTTTAATGAATATAAAATAACCGTAGTCTTTTTTAGTGAGCGAATAGTGTATGATAGAAGAAAGAGTCAGAAATATGACTGAAGTTCATGAAGTTCATAGTTCTCAACCATGTGCAATACATAAGTCAGACTATCGATCTTGAAAACTAATAAGGAAGTTGGCCTAGAAACCTCAACACAGGTTTTCAAAGTTTCTTCGCAGCTGTGTA